TGCATACACGGGAGCGGGACTGAAAGACGATGGATATGCGGCGGTTGCAGGACTTTTTGAGAAGGCGAGAAGCGGGGAGGAGGCGACCAAGGGTCCGTTGAAAAACACGGAAACCAAGGGCGAGGTCAGAGACACGTCTTGTTTACGGTCTTGAGCAGGTCTCCGAAGGATTCGAGTGTTTGGAGCCGTGCGGGGTCGGGGCTCGGGCAGTCGTCGCGCTGCGGGTGAGTTGAGTCAGGGTGGTGACGTGTATGATGTACATCTGCGCACCTGGTGTCCCTCCACACCGCAGGCGATGCAAATCGTCGGCTCCTTGCAGTCTTTGGTAAGGTGCCCTTCCTGCCAGCCTGCATCCGTCCGACCCAGTGTCAGTATTTGGTCGGAACATCGATGGTACGTACAGTTCAAGCTAAAAGATGAGAGGAGTTACTTAGCGTGGATGGAGGAAAGAGTGTTAAAAAACGACGGACCAGACATTGATACATTGCCCTGTGTGCAAGCGTGGGCTCTGCCCCGTGTGCAAGCGTGGCAAAGCCCGCGGGGCGGTGGAGGACAAGGAACGGAGAGGTGCGCGGAGGGTGGAGATTGTACCCGGGGCGCGGGTGCGCAGGAGGAGCAAGGCGTGGGGGCGGAGCAGCGGTAGCATTGTGTGGTAGTAGTAATGGAAAAAGAGAGTCACGTCACAGTCACACGCCAACGCGGTCATGTGCCGATGGTGAGCCCATCGAGTCGCGTCGCGTCCTTGGGTAATGGGGCACTTTCTCGTAGATTTTGAACGTGGACACGTCTTCCTATGGTCAATATATACGAGCGCGCATTCGAACGTCACATATCTTCCAAAAGAAAAGCCACGCCCGTTTGAGCCATGTCTGGCCATATCCCACCCCCGAGTCGAACGGGGTTCTTCCACTGACACGGGTTTCGTCGTACATCAGGTTGAGCTGACGAGCATCATGCGCCAGTAGGACACCATCCTCTGTTTTGGGCCATTATTCCGTGCTCGATAATGGACCCAGGTCTTTGGGTGGACGTTAGTAGGAATAAGATGTGTGCCTGGTTGAATAAAAGACAGATCTCGCTCAATCATGAAAAATAGAACATATCCACGGCCAGTGGTGGGTTTCCCCAACGCCTGTCCCTCGTCTGTCCTACTTGACACCAATCAATCGCTCGTACCCGCATCTGTATCTGGATCCTATAACATCTGCATCTGTATATAACTACGGTCATACGACACCACGCGCCAATTCATGTCTTTAATAAAGCAGGGATACTATTCAAGTTACACTTCAAGAATGAGTCCCGCTGGTGTACGGCGCACGTCTGCATACATTTCAAGAGTGTGGTGGAATTTCGCAGGAGGGCCCTGCTCGATTCGGGGGCGGGACATAAGATGACGGAAGAGTCCTTTCTTTCTGTTGTTTCACGAGTGGGCTGAGAAACATAGCACGATAGAATTGATATCCTACGTTTAAAAAATCTCAGTTGAAGTGAATACACCGTTTACCTGCCTCGAAATACCCACAGAGTTGGACCCAGCTCCAGCCACCGGGTTCGTGGCCATGAAGCAAGGTAGATCAATAAAGAATCTGTCCCGCTGATGCATGGTGCACGTCTGACTTCAGTCGAGCGCCAGACGTGAATTCGCACATGGACCCCGTTCGATTCGGGGGTGGGAGATGACGACGCAAGAACAGACTTATTGAAAAAGGAACTGGTCGTCGGCCGATCAGAGGGTGGATATACGTTGTACACCATTAGAACTCGTTCTGTTAGCGGACGCCCGCCTCATACCATTATTTATTCGACCTTGGTGCATAGGATTATCTTCAGAGTTGAATTACACAACACCCTCATACTTACTGTACACACCCACCTTCCTTCCGTTATTCGCGTATTTTTAACTCATCTGAATCAGCCGTGTTATATAAAAAAGGTCGTCAATTTCTTGGACATGTCCCGCCCCCGAGTCGAACGGGGTCCTTCCGCTGTAAGTTCCTTAATGACCCATGTTGAACGGGCGCACCGTACACTAGCGGGACTCGCTCCCTTATCTCGACCCCCGCATTATATCAACGCTTATTTGAATGCGGCCAGGTATCCTGCAGAAAAATTCCAACATGCCAATGAATGTCCCGCCCCCGAGTCGAACGGGGTTCTTCTGCAACAAGGAACATTTTGAACGTCTTACTTTGAACGGACGTGCACCGACCACCAGCGGGACTCTCCCCGCCTACCTTTCACCCCGCATTATACCATCGTTTATTTGAGGGCGGGGAGTTCCTTCCCAAAAAAAGAGGACCACCCTTTCGTTGCATGTCACACCCACGACTCGAACGGGTTCTTTCGGATTAATAAACTGCTCATGAATCCTTTCGCATATTAGGCGGACGTGCACCGTGCACCAGCGTACCTTGACCCCGCATTATACCATCATTTATTTGGGCGCGGGAGGTTCCCTCCCAAAAAGATTCAACAACTTTTCAGCAATGTCCCGCCCCGAGTCGAACAGGTTCTTCCGCAAAATTCGGAGGTCGCGATATGGCATGGAGAGCAGACGTGCACCGTGCACCAGCGGGACTGTGTTGAGCCCACCTCACACCCTCGTTTCCTTTCTAACAAATTAAGTGAACTGCGCGTTATTCTATTTTCAGTTCTATTCACGGTATGATACAGAGACGAGGGATATACACGAACACGCGCTTGGGATATACAGACAATTTGTATGGGATGGTACATTTTTGTTTCTGGATGTGGGCCGGTACAAGATGCTGAAGGTTTGGGGAACAGGGATGCGGTGGGGTGGTTATGGACGTGATGAGGGAATTAGACTGATGCGACGTGGAGGGACTTGGAGGGAGGATTGACGCGACGAGGAAGAAGTTGAGGTAATCGAACGACGCGGGTGCTTGTATATGCTACAACGTGACTGTGAACTCGAGTGCTCTGAACAGACATCTACCGCCGCCCGCTGCCACTCCCACTGCGCACGTTGCTCTCGAAGTAGCCCGTAATCGCGCCTGGGCCACACGAAGAAACGGAGACGGGCGAGAGAGGCGGTGATCCTACGGATGAGGGGATTGTTGAGAAGGTGGGGGAGGCCGATTGAGGGGCGAGGAATGCAGCGTAGGTTGCGGAGGCGGCAGGGAGTGGGGAGGAGTCGGATACGGGTGTGGTGAATGGAGGGGAAGCCGCGGGGGACGTCAAAGACACGCCGCGCTCCTGGCGCTCCGCGTCTTGCACATGGCTCCGATAATGGCGATGCATATTCGATTTGACGTTGAACGCGCGCCCGCAGCCGGGGTGGGGGCATTTGAACGCTGGCGGAACATTACCATCAATTGAGGCATCGAAGAAACGATACTGTGACTCACGCGTAGCCCCGGTATGTGTATTCGCGTGGATGCGCAGGCTACTCGGGCGGTTGAAGCGCTTGCGACACGTCGGGCATATGTGCTTCTTTCCTTTTCGACCCGCACTCCCGCCCTCATCGGCACTGTCCGCATCGTCCGCATTGTCGTTCGAGGACCCAGACGACGAGTGTGAGTGCGCCGACTCGGAGCCTGCGGGCTTGAGTGCGAAGGTGGAGAGGGAGTACGCAGGAGTGGAGCGGGGAAGCACGAGCTGTTGCAGAGCTGGATACGGCCTGGGGACGTGCACGAAGGACCGGGGCGGGAACGCGCGTCCGGACACGGTGGTATGCAGCGAGCGCGGGATGTGCTCGGGAAAGAGCTCGTTTATGCCTGGAAGCACGATGGGTCCACTGAGAGGACACGGGGTTGCGATAGAAGCCCTCGTGTGTAGAGTCGCCATGAGTTATCGAGTGTAAAAAGCGGAGTGGTACGTTTATAAGCTAGATGTCGGTGAGATGAAATGTTGTGTGCGTCAGGCTTTCAGAAATCGTTTTATGTAGGAGGTAGAGACGGGGATCTGAATGCGGAGTTAGGACGAGGAAGAGGGAAGAGCGAGCGGAAAAGAAAGGGTGGAATTAGCCGGCCACGGAAGCAAGCCGCCATCAAAAGTGCTGCGCACTGGACGCCGATCGGAATGGAGTTACAATTTCGGGTTGAATTCAGAATGGATTTGCGGTTGGATTTGCGGAGTACCCGCACCGTGTCTTTCTCCCGCGCAGCATGTAGATTACAGCGAGAAACAGTATGAATTTATTAGATTTGGAGGTATATTCTGCCGTCCCTTCATCCATGTTATTCCACAAATTTTCTATTTCTCTTGGATATTCACGTCACCACATGAAACCCTGGCAGCTACAGCGCCCGGCGGATCCTTGCGGATCACGATCGATTTTGGGTTGTGATTTGCGGAACCCGTCGATAAAATGATCTGCTCCCGTCGGCTGTTCAACCGCGTGTAATGGCCTCCACGTCAATTGCTTTGGGCGGCCTACGTTGGCCGAAATCTAGATACTGGTGGGTTCTATGGCCTAGTATATTCACACAGATATAAAGCAGATTACGCATGTCGGGAATGCATCAATGTCTTGAATACAACGAGCTTTTTACGGATATACGGGTCATATGGCTCAGATGCTGACTGACTGGACGTAATGGCTGAAATCAAGGTTATATTATCAACGGCCCTAAACCCATTGTGAGACCTGGAGGTACACAGAAAAAATGATCCGTGGGGTGTTGCCCTAGTTAGGTTCTGATCGTGGTTCCTCGGCTGTATGTTCATGAGTACAGCGGAAGAATCCAAGGAAGCACGAATTGGGTTAAGGCCACCAAAGACAACTGGGCAGTGCAAAAAAAGAAGAAAGGCAAAAGCGTTCACTCTTGTCATTGATGTCCCACCCCCGGAATCGAACGGGTCCGTCCGCATCATATGGCACAATCCTCCGCTTACATTGAAGCGGACGTGCACCATGCACTAGCGGGTTTCTCTCTTTGTTTAAGCACGAGATATACCAGAGTCGATGTGTAACAAAAAAAAATCGGAAATCTTTACCGAGTGATAAAATAAAAAACTGAACACAGATCGTACGCCCCGCCCCCGAGTCGAACGCGGTCCTTCCGCGATGAAGCTGAAAATCGGCCAGCAACGATAGGCGGATATGTACCGTACACCAGCGGGGCTTATTCCTTTGGTTTGGTCACCCCTCTCACCCGCTTTGCCGGGAATTATAAAAAGAAGCCCTGTCCCGTCCCCGAGTCAACTGCTGAAGGTGGAAAGGTCATTAATCGAAAACGGACGTACGTGTACCTGGCCTTTTTTTTTTGCCCAGTTCATGAGTACAGGGATTTCCGTTTGCTTCATTCGGTTGAATTGTTCGTCGAAATGCCCTTTCTTTACACGAGAATACATCCGCTCGCCCACCGCACGGCCCGTGATTCGGATGCGATGGAAAAAGACAGGACTAATATTAGTGATGTCGGCTCGAATGAGGAAAAAGAAGGAAAGAAAACGTCCCGGCCCCGGATCGAACGGGGTCCTTCCGCATGGATCGAGATAGAGTCAGCCACTTTAGGCGATATGCGCCGTACAACAGCGGGACTTGCTCGGTTGGTAGCAGCCCATATCATGAAAACGTTATTCAAGGGATTAGTTCGAATGATATGGATCGAATGTCTTTAAGCACCTCTTTGTCGGGTTCGTACGTTCTATGAGAGGGAAATGCAACAATTTTGGAGACGAGATAAGCACCACTCATGACTTTTGTGCCTCGATGCACTAATCACAGATGAATGTCATTGACATTGCAGCATTGGTCGATTATCCAAACGGGAGGATCTGTGCTTGGGCTTACACAGCAACCAGATCTTCCAAACCAGCTAGCTATAGACGAGCGGCGATTTAGGTACCTACCGGACAACGTGCCAAGCTTGTGGTGGTAAGCAAGGCCGTGAGATTTGTGGCGAGATTCACGATGGTTGGGGGTGTTCATCGAGTTGCTTGAGGCCCTACTGCGGGGATCTTCGTTGTGGTGAATGGTCCCGATATTCCTGACGGCCTACCCTTGCCCCAAAGGAATTGATTACACTGGTGCGGTATTACGAAAGATGAATCGATACCGCGTTGCAAAGAGCAAGGTTCTCCAGAGAGCTTGTTTGAAAGAGAATTGTGCACAGGAGCACATTAATTCTAACATCTTATCCAGTGCGAAGCATAGATCTCTAGATGTGCGGAGGAGAAGAGAGCATTTCAAGAGCATTCCGGGGAGAAACAAGAAGACATGCGGCCCACTGGACTTCGAGCGGTGTTCAAGATGCACCCATGCTAATCATAGCCCAAGAAGGACTAGAGAGGATTGAAAGGTCAAAACCTGTGGACCTCGAGTGACTCGTCACCGGGAGATGGACGCTCAGGTCAAGCGCCCGGGCCAAGCGCCGGCGCGTCTAAACCCGGCAGGCGGCCGGAATCATCCGAGTCGCCACGTGTATCGACACCGCCTCCGACCACTTGCTCGCAACCAACAACTCGCCACCGTCGAAACTTGATTGAAACCCGCGAAAGCGGTAGTGTTCCGTCTCTCCTTTTCCACAACTCACCATGGTGAAAAGCTGGGTTTGCAATGGTCTTGCCTCGCTCGGCTCAGATCCAGTGCACTCGCCGTCTGGTATGAGGTACGCGGAGGTTGACCAGTCGCGGAGCCTCCACGCTCCATGGCTAGGCTCCGTAGACCTGGGTTAACTGAATGAATTGCTTTATAACAGGTTATATTCCTTAGTAGTAGCGCCTTGGACCTTCTGCTGGATTTTCGATGCAGGCTCACCGTTCACGCTGGGCCGGAAGCGAGCATGACTTGCAAGGCCTCGCCGTCGGATCGGATGCACATATGGAGGGCTTTGCATCGGTTTCGAGGTGTTTCAATCTTCCCGAATTGCCCGTAGCCAGCAGTTGATAAGACCGAGGTGAGTCACAGCTCAAAAAAAAGATCATTTGCCTCGCCGCTAATTTAAATGTGAGTACAGTAGACATAATGGATAACTTGAAAGACATCATACGCCATTTCTAACAGAAAAAGAGAACGTCATTGTCGGGAATATTAGGCACAAGTGAGTACAATGTAGTAGGTCGATCCCGCTCACTGCCACTGATCCAGGCTTGTTTCGGCCGGACAGGTTTGCATAGCCTCCATCCCGGCACAGCCCAACCACGCCGTGAAGTGCTACGGCTCTGTGTCGATGACCAGGGTTTGCGGGTTCAAGCAATGCTTCCCGTCCCCCCAACGACGAAACATGAAAGCACAAGTAGAGGAACGCGCATTTAAGGTGCGCCTAACGTCCTACTCAGCTATTTCACGAGCTCACCCTCCCGATACCTCGCCTTGAGATGCTCAATTACAACGCAGATTCCACCGCCGGTTCTTTCGGTAACACATTCTCGCCGGCCACGCTATCCCATCCTCCTCCAGCACCACCCCCGGCCTTCGTTACATTCCAGTTCACCTCATTCAACCCAACGCTCTTAGACTCGACCGTCCTCGGCCCAAGCTCGCAGTTTTACTTCCACGTCTCAACAGCCTCACGCCCCCTGCGGTACACAGCGGTCCGCGATTCCACGAACGAGGCGATAACGGTGATCGAATGGCTCAAGCACCCCGTTATCGAAATTCGCGACGCTTTAACGAAACAAGCGGTCTCTCAGTGGCTGGTGCTCTCGTCCGATAAGAGGTGTGATATCTTCCTCCTGGAGCGCGTTGGCCCGCTCACGCTTTTTTCTGCGACCTACAGCTACCGAACAATGAACTTCGACGGCCGAAGTTTCGTGTGGTCCCCGGAAGGAAATTATGTTTGCGTGCGTACATCACTCAAAATCCATCGTTCAAGCATGCTCAAGAAGACCTTATGATTATTTCAGTTATATTCTACCGGGCTCGAAGCACCGCGGATATACGCGCGTATATTCCGTGACGCGAATGCCCTGGCACTCGACCTCACAGCGGAGGCGATTAACATGGGAATGTTGGACGTCTGCGTCGCTGCTGCTCTGGTGCTTCAATCTGGGCGAAATATCGACTGATTGGGGCGTTTCTTCTTAAATATGGATGATGGACGTACTTGCTGTAATTCTCGCATGCACACACGGACACGGACACTCAGACGGTAGTAATTTATACATGGTCCTCCACGATCATTTAAATTCGACTAAGTAGCGTGTTTGAACCTTATTTACCAGTGAGTTGCACCGCTTTTGAAGGTTGATCAATTTTGTTCAAGCAAGATCCATGCTGACAGACCGAAAAGAGAGTCCATAATAGGTTCATAATAGTGGCTCGGATTGTGGCGATGGCATATCGTCAGGCCCGAGTAATGTTGGGGTTTAAAAATGTGGCGGAAGGAGTCTCGGACATGAGACACTGCGTTCCGACCCCATGTACACTGACCCCTGTCTACCTTAAGTTACATGCGGCGACGTAGTGGCGACATGCGGCGACATGAGGCTATACACGGCTACCTGTGTGTACGCCGTGATGTTCGGCGCGCTTATGTTACGTCCGTCTACATGCCGTCTACATGCCGTACACGAACCGTCCGCTACATAAGTCGACCTGTGTCTACGCCGTCGACGCACTTAGACGCACCTCGACTTAGGGTCATTTCCGTCGCTCTATGGCATAGGTCAGGCATTACCCTCCTGACTATTCTGCAGGCATGCCGGTAAGCCTCGGTCTTTGAGCTCCACATAATAAGCTTCCGGGATCAGCCCGACCATCAACACCGTTCTTTGTGGGGCCACGCTCTGCTCATCAGCCCTGGACGTCGTGAGGCCGCGTGGCCATGGTACGATTTCACTTGTCTGTAGGCTTGGGGTACATGTGTCTACGTCCGCCTGTGTGTGGCCACGTCGGTCCACGTGCGTGTACATCAGTCTAGGTGAGTAGACCAATTTAGATTAATGTAGACATAGGTAGATCAACTGTGCCTACATATCGTAGACACAGGTAGACAAAGGGGTTCGTCTACCCTTTATGTACGGGGGTAGATGAACCCTCTGTCTACGGGGGGTGGGAACGCAGTGAGAAAAGAGATTTTATGGAATCGTATGAGATGGTAGCGACGTCCCAGGGCAACAACATCAAGCCGCGTACGGGTAGCTCCTAGTCTCAAATTGACAGCACACTGCCAACAACCTCTCCACACCCTAATGGGATAATTTCGACCCGCATAATATATTGCACAGCTTAGTACACTCTGTGCCAAAAGTTCGTTTATACACCAGCCCATGTAACTGCTGAGGTTACGTTTCGATAGTCCCTCGGTTTGATTTCACAGACGTTGACCAAGGGAATAATGATTTAACGCCACAGGGGAGCGCTGTTTGATTTCAAGTCAGAGATTCCAAGTAACTCGTTGCAAACGCGCGGGGAATTCATTCAAACATGTACACAAATATATACCTAAAATAGCTGTTAAAGAGCTGTAAAGAACTGTGAAAGGAACGAAAAATAGCGAGCTGTTGAGAATGCTGTTGAACCGAGCTGTTGAAGTGGGCAGTGCGTGCACAGCAGTTGTAACTCCAACAAGCGCGTGAGCACTTGGACATTTGAAGCGAATTGAGGTGCATCACTTTCGAACGTTGATCGTTCCTCTGTCCGGAAAGGCGCCTACATGAACAAGGCATGCATGATCTACACCGACACTGCAGACAAGAGACTCCATGTAGGAACCCTAATGCTGACTCGGATTGTGTTGACATCATAGCATGTGATGTCGGTGTCTCTAAAAAATGTGGCGGGACATCCACAACGGTTATTTAAGGCGACCATATTCTGGCTGCTGCGCTGGTGCTTTGGTGGTTCTATTCGAGCGAAATCCCTATTGAATGGTTGATGCGGGAGCGTTGTTTCTTAAATATAGAAATTGAACTTGCTGATGGACGTACTTGGTATAATTCTCGTAGTTGAACACACGTATAACGGGAACTGACGCGAAAATAATGTATATCTTGTACGCCACACGCTAGTGGAACATCTGAAATGAATCCGCGGGTTTCAAGAGGCTTGATCTATTTACCAGTGAGTTGCATCATTTTTGAATGCTGTTCGGAACTTGTTCCTCGCTTAGTCGAAGGCATGCATGATCCACGCTGACATTGCAGACAAGAAACGAGGGTTTTAATGGTGACTTGGATT